TTTGCATTGGGTATGTCCCATATTGCTATAGTAAAGTGAATATGTGAATGAATACTTTTGGGTTGAGCATGTCACCCAGACATGGCCAGACATTGGGTCATTACCCAATGTCAACCAGATTTAAAATGTTGTATGTGTCTAAACCGAAGATCCAGCAACAATGCGACCTTAATACAACATTGGCATTTCTTATTCCCCTTAGAGGCCCAGTATAATTCTCTAAACACTACCATACTCTGTGTCAGCAATACACATAGTCTACTCATTGCTGGTGTTATAGTGCTTACATTTTACTACTATCTTAGCTTTCTCTGTTTTGATTCCTGGCAGTGCACATAGTGCAGCAGGCTGTCTATCTATTAAACAGGTCTGCATGGGTAACTTGTCCAGTTTGACTGGTCGAAGAATCCATTACCAGGAGTGAATAAAACAGTGCATTGCCAAGACTGCAGATCCAGATCCTTCTGAGATTTTTCCGAGCAACTTCGACAGTCACTATTGACAGCCTTTGTTCATTTAACATTCTCCATGCCCCCAGCACAGACATTCTTCTTTCAACAGTGTCCACATTCTACCCTCCCATCACTCTCTTCAACTCTTTCCCAACACTAGCTGTAATTCAGTTCAATGCACTCTAACAGCTTTTACCCTGCCTTCTCTCACAACCATAATCACTTCCTGCCCTCTCCCCCACCTCTTTTTTTCTTGATCGTTTCCATTTGACCTCCATCTCCCTCAGTTAAGATAATCTCCTCCCCTCCCATCCTGCCTTCCCCTTTTCACTGGTCACCATTTTACTACCTATCCCATCTATGATCAGCTTACAACTCTATCTTGTCACTCAGTGGTTCACTATCAGCTGTTGGTCATCTTTTCCTTCAAACCATAACTAGTTATCACTTTTCTACACCATTGGGGCCACAGTTAGTTCTTGATCACCCTCCTCTCCATTTATGACTTGCTCTTGCTCTGTACTGTTGTCCTCTAAGTCTACAACCATGCCTTTTCACTCAGCCTCCCACAGTCTTTGGACAGCTCATGCCGTTCCCCTTCTCTCTTATGTTCTAATCCATAGTCAGTTCCTGCCCTACTTTCTCTATGTTCCATGGCAAGCTGCAGCTCTTCTATCCTTTCTACCCCCAGGCACAATCAGATTTGGCTTTGCCTTCTCTATGCCCCACCTCCCTAGTCAACTTCCTTTCTGCCTCTTTTAACTATTCACTTGGCCAAAATCAGGTGTCACTTTGGTACAGGTAAAGCGCTGTGCAAACTATTGGCGCTATATAAATCCTGTATAATAATAATAATGATGAGCTGTTGATCCACAATCCTTTAAAGATAACACTATGACTGCTATAGTGCCACCTTCCCCATTAAACGACTGCTCTCTTTGTACCCCATGATTGGTTTAAATGCGGTCGCATGCTTGACCAAAGCATACCTGGGGGGGTACAGTCAATGCCAGACACCTGGAATTAACCAGATACATGCTACTATTATCCTGCCAGGCTGACTACAGCCCTGGCAATCACAATGTCTAGTAGCCACCTCACAGAAGGTGATGGGGGCTACACTAGCAAATGTGTGTAAACTAGTGCTAAATAGTGTATACATTACCACATACCATTCACTTATGATTTGTTTTTGTGTTTTTAAGTAGTTTCTGACAGAGTGGCTACAAGGTCACGTTAAACAGGATTGCATGCAAGACAAATGGAGAATATCTAGGTACTAAAGGCTCTCTAGCCAATGTACTGGTGTCTATCATTTAAGTAAAATTAACAGCTAAGAGCCTAGCTCCATGATTTTGCAGTGCAGCAGGCCTGGTTAAATTTTTTTACAAAGAATCTATCTCCAGAGAGTTTCTCAATGCTTTGGGCTGTGCATATTCCATTTCCCAATGACAACCTAAAAATAGTCAGGCAGGTTAACTGGATTTTGATCAAAGTGCTCCTTCTGTATATGTACATAAGTGACTGCACTAAGCTCCTCTGGAACAGAGACTGACATAAATAGTGTGCTTGCACTAAGGAAACTTTCAGAGCAATATACATTTATGATAACAGCAGTAAGGAGTAAGGGCTTATTCACAGGAGGAACCTGTGAAATCTTCCATGGGGGACACCAGTTCTGGTGGCCCTGCTGTCCATCATCTCTCTCACTTTGAAGGGATTTGCTCTTACGACTATAAAGTAGATCGTGTAAGGAAACCATAGATGAAGATGAAAGAGAGGGGAAAAAATACGGAGAACTGCACATTGCTATTATACTCCCTACAGCTTCAGTGTGCTCAAACAATTCCACCAGCTCTTGTCTTTGCCAGTTTCAAGGGTTCTGAATGGATTATTGGAGGAGGAACAGGGTGCATTAGCAGCGCCAGCTGACAAAAAATTAAAGTATTTTGGGACTACTACTTACTGCCAGTCAAGCCACCTCAAAAAATATTTTTTTATACTAATGTTTATCAAATAAAATACATTGGCGTGCCTCAGTTATCTTTAGTTCCCCAGAAAAAAATATGCTGCAAAAGTACACTGTGACTGAGAATGTCCCTTAAAATCACACAATTTCACAGAGTCCCGCCTCAGGTCCGTCCCACTAACGTGTTTCACCTAATTCTGGGCTTAATCGTAGATTAATGTATTATCATTTAAACCTATGGAATGTTTTACTAAAATGAGAAGGGACATGAGCTTGTATTACAAAGATCAGACAGAAGAACTTGGAGATCAGTGGAGGAGAGTGGGACATATGGCATGAAAGTGGAGGAGACAGGACATTTGTGATGGAGAGTACATATCACACTGTTAGTGAGATCAGATCGTACATAATAGGGGGAAAACAGAAAAAAAAGGAAGACTGTGGACTGACTAGGAAAAGACTGTTGATTTTTACATATACATACAGTACATTCACCTGACAATATCACCTATGTGAGCTTTTTGAATATCCTATTTCAAAACTACTGGCAAAATTATTATTCCACAAGATTTTGGATTGTGTCTTTATTATTCCCATTCAGCAAAAAAAAAAAAACATTTGTGAGGTCAGGTACAGATGTTGGATGAGAAAATATGCCTTACAATTTGCCTTCCAACTTATCCCAAAGGTGTTATATAGGGTTGAGGTCAGAGCTCTGTGCAGGGCACTTGAGCTTCCCCATGTCAGACTTGTAAAACCTTGTTCTTATGGAGCTGGCTTTGTGCACAGAGGCACAGTCATGCAGGAACAGAAAAGGGCCTTCACAAAAATGTTCCCACAAGGTTGGAAGTACACAATTGTCCAAAACGCCTCTGCAGTAACTACAACAGTACCTTTCACTAGAAACACCTAAACCTAATAATTTTAGGGGGGGTCATATAGTGTAGGGGTGATGTCTTGTTACCATAAACATTTGTCCATAAAGTGTGTGAATAGTAGGATTCTGAAATGTTACCCTACAGCACAGATTGCCACAAGCATAAACACTCAGTTCTGACAAGTGAAAACACTGCTCTAAATGAAACAGTTACGTAAGAAATGTTAATCATTCCATGTCTATGCATGCACGAAAATTACAACTTTTTCTGTATATATGTACAATTTTAACAAAATATGTATTATTTATGTCCCAGATGGGGAGGATTTTAATGTTTTAAAAATAAATGATTGTTGTTATTTTATCTAAGTGTCTTATTCTGAGGTACCTAAAAAGTCAGTAATTTACAAAGTGACATAACTTCTTTGATAATTTGAATGGGATGTTGGTACCATATAGGAGATAAACCGCCCATTAATAATACAAATTACAGACAAGGTGAATTTGCAGCTAAGCTCCTGCCATACATAAACACATAAAACTGTCAGAAAAACTAGTGGGACAACTTTACTTCTGAGTCTCTACATTTTTACAAAAATAACATTTTTAGGTTTGCTCTAAAGACAGTATGCATCGATTCTTCTCTTGGGACTGTCAATCATGTAAGGGAGAAAGTAAAACTTTTGCCATGCTAAAGAAGCATCTAAAATGATCAGATTGCTGGCTTAAATGCTAAAGTATTGTAATGAATCAGGCCCAGTATTGTACATTTTTAGATATTTTTGTTTGTATCTTAATGGACCTGTTAATGGATATCCATACAGAAAGCACACATCCAGAAAGAAATGTTTTCCAAGCTGTTATTGCACAAGTTAATAAGGAAGCTACATTTCCACTTACAGATCTGAAAAACCGTTGTCTTTAGTGTGAGCCGTAGTGTTCCACATGAAGCCAATAAGCAGGGAATGTCTTCACTGCTTTCTTTTTCCTATAAATAACAATGCCACAATTTTTATCACTTAACAAATGATTTATCAGCCAGGGTCATGATGAACCAGCTTAAATTCGAGTGGTGCGTGTCGGCACTTCCCAAAAGTTGATTTTTCAATAGACTTATGTTGAAGGAACGGTCTGATAATTTTCAGCTGAACAGTGACTGCAGCAAGTCTTGTGCAGCGTCTGCTGAATGCAATAGCTGGCAGTGGGAGATTTGTCCATTTACACTGTTTAGCAACCTGAACAAAAAGAAATGTATTTTGTATGCCAATAATAGTAACACACATGAGGTGATGTGGAGAAGGGATGTACATGGGCTTGGTGTGAACTGAGTTCGCCTTATTTCGCGCAAAACTGTCAGTGACGCAGTCCCCTCCTGGACCAATTAGCTGCAGCTGGGGGATCCCCTTGTTACGCATAGCTGTGGAGCAAGGAATGTCCTGGCCGCAGCAGATTGGTCTGGGAGGAGGATGTGTTACTGACAGTTCTGCATGGGCCCGGGCGAACTTGGCAAACTCTGTTCACACCAAGCAGAGGCACATCCCTAATCTGGAGTTTTAGAAAACAGGAAAAGTGAACTTTTGCTATGAGTCAGATGCATATTACACACCTAAATTAAAAAGTATCCCTCTTCAGCAAGGGACCCCTCCTGAATACACATTAGAAAGAAAGATATATAACCTGTGAAATATTGCCGTCTCTGCAGGAGTTACCAAAGCTGCCAGTGCCTCCCTTACAACAAACTATGGACATGTATCTGAAATGCATGAAACATCTGGTGTCAGAAGAGCAATATAAAAAAAGCAAAGCTGTCGTGGAGAAGTTTGTGATGCCCGGAGGCCTGGGGGAAATATTGCAACAAAAACTGCTCGAGCGGAGAGAGAAAACAGAAAGCTGGGTGAGATATCATTTGACGTTACTGCAGTTGGCGTTATTACTATTATTATTAGCAGTAGTAGTGTTATTTCAACACACATGGGATTATTATGGATATCAGCTCTGAAAAGTGAAATGTGAAAAGTCCCAGTATCATAAATAGTGATGCACCACACTCTGATCTTATCAAAAGCTATATTCTAAAACAGAAAATGTGTGGTGATGGGTAAGTTGTGTCATGATAAAGTATATTTCAGTATATTTTGACATGTCATGTATAAAGCCCAGTCTAGTTTTGGTGCCTTCACCTGTATCATAGCAAGAGCAGATTAGGTAAAAGAAGTGTTGGTTGTGATAAAGTCAAATGTGACTGTATCTTATAACACCACATGTGCTACAAACCTGTTCCACAATGTAAACACCTTAAAGCTCACATGGCAGCATTTCTATCAAAGTTGCAGAGCTTCACAGGCCGGATTCACACAGTTGCACTGTGGTAAGGCACACCTTACCGCAATGTGCAACAATACATATCAGGCACGTTTGTGCGCTGCAGTGCCATTCATTCATACATGTATGAGAAGTAAGGTGTCCTTGACATGTGCAGGAGGCATAGGATTAACAACATCCGTCCGAAATACACTGGGAAAAAAACACATACAGTTGCATGCTAATGTTTTGGCACCCATGGTCAAATGACAAGTTTAGCTATGTGGAAAGAGAAGCGAAAAATAGTAACCAACTACTGCAGGAAAAACGGTGGTAAAAAATAAAACATTTAAACATAGCAACTGTCTATTACGAACATGGGGGGCCTGCACTAGCAGTAGGTAGATGCACTAAAAACATACACAAACTGGATTCTTGCATGATGCCATTCATTGCTCTGAACCCGAGAAGAACGTCATTACTTCACTCAAAATCACATAGGGGTATAGTTATAAAGCGGAGAAGCTGACAGTTACTAAACCTTCCCTGCAGGTGATACTACCTGGTGCATTTGTTTTAAATGACAGTGATTAATTTAAGACCAATGAATGTTTGGTAATGGTCACAATCACTGCTTTATAATTATGCCCCTTAAACATGCCCTAAAATATCTGCAAGCACAGCTGAAGATAGCGATTGCATTGACCAGAGACCAGTGGACATGTCTACAATTAAATGATTTGGAGGTGCTGGGATTTCAGGGGTTATCCAAGTGATCCAATCAATGTAAAAGTGCCGATATAACTTACAATTATATGGAGATTTGTGTCTGCGATCGCGGTTTCGTCCGAAAATCTGCCAGTTGATGGGAAGTGCACAAGCTCAATTACTGTACAACTGGCAGATTTTTGTCTTTCAAGCAGGCTAGAACATTTTCATCTAATTGCATGCAAATCAACAGGTTAGTGGCATTGTTGTACAACAAAAATCAGCCAGTTAGTGATGAAAATGAGCCAGTTAGTGGTGCTGACGAACGTTAATTGCGAACTTCATTGGTCTGTGCATGATGGGCTAGTTGAACGAAAATAGAATGAGGGTAAGATGTCTGGATTTAAAAAAAAAGTTGTACAATGTAAGGTACATGGCCACCTTTAGGAGGTTTTCCAAACAAGTTTACTGGCTCTGGTAAAGGCAGCTCTCAATTGATAGGCCACCATTGATGGGTACCTGGAAGCAACTCAAAGTATATTCTGTATAAACAGAAACGGGCACCAAACCAAAAAATGAGTCTGGGGTGTTTTAATTGTTCAAAATTTGATCACACAAAATCATTACATACATTTCAGGGCCAACAACACTCTATCATAATGAAGACATGAATGGACTCACAATGAATTATAACCAAAGGAATCTATATTGGGTCAGATATGCATGCTCCTGCTAGACTAACTGATGCTAACTGTAGTATATAACCTGCACTAATAAGGAGCGTGCATTATAGATTCCTTTCGCTTTAATTCCTTGCCCTCAATTTTTTTAAACCCTGATGAAAGGGAAGTATTGTTGCCCCTGAAAGGCGTTGCCTGTTTTTGTGTGATAACATTTTGAACAATTGAAGCACCTTGGACATTTTCACTTTTAGTTTGGTGCCTGTTTTTGTATATACTGTATATATATATTGTATACATGATGTGATATCTACAATCCCAACAGCAACAAGCTATTTTACTGGGTTTAGTGAGGCAGAAACAATTTGACATAATTTAAAAGACTATAAAATATACCAATGGGGGAAATTTATCAAAACTGCAGCAGTCAGAATCTGGAGCAGTTGCCCATGGTAACCAATAAGCATCTAACTTCAGTTTGTTTAGTTAAGCTTTGCAAATGAAAGGTACAAGCTGATTGGTCACCATGGGCAACTGCTCCAGGTTTTGTCTGCTCCAGTTTTGATAAATTCCCCTCCATGTCCATTTATCATCTAGAGCCAACTGCATCAAATACATCTGTGGTCTTCCTGCTTGCTAAAGTGTTCTTCTTTGACTTTAGATACATGAATACTGGCTTGATGACATGTATCTAAACAACCACCTACCCCTGCCAGTTAATTCCAGCCCAGCTGTAATATTTGCACGTCACAATTTTCAGGATGACAATGATCAACTGAGGTAAGACAGGATAACCAACATTTTGGCATTTTGTTTTCCGATGTTGTATTGCATTATTTATGTCTTGTAACTTTAGCTGTTCTATGAGCACACCGGTCAATGCTAGAAATATTTTCGAAAAAAGAACCTGAATGCAAATTGTTTTCCATATACAAAGAAGCTGCAGCGTTCCTGTGTACTTGAATATTTTGAATAGACAAACAATAGCTGCCTGTTTAAACCACACATACAAGACACTTAAACAAATACAGCTATTTTATTTCATTATTTTATCTTAGAATGGATTTTTGTATGCAGAAACATGCCATTTCCACAAAGGGGACCATTCCACTTAACTTGATAAATCTACATGAATAAAATCCTGACATCTTACAATACAAACTAACAGTTTAAGGTCTCATTCTCACAGCCTAGAATCATGCCGTGCAGATCCGTGCGGCATGCACGGCCGTATCGGGACGTTCCGCGAGGAACAGGTGCTGCGTGTGATTGCACGCAACAGCCTGTTCTTCTCTATGGGAGGACGCGGTTGTACGCACACCTGAGCTGCACAACCGTGCATGTGCAGGTGTCTGTACTCGTACGCAGACGGATGTGCAGTTCGGGAGTGCGTATGACAGCATACTGCCCTCGTCCTCCCAAAGGGAAGAACAGGCTGCTGCATGCAATCACACGCAGCACCTGTCCCTCCCGGGAATGGCACGATACTGCCGTGCACACAGCACGGATCTGTACGGCACGACTCTACGCATGCGTGAATGAGGCCTAACTGTTTGCAAAAGCTGTATCTTCTATTATTAAAAAGCATCGAACCCTGGTGCTCTAGTGGGTGATTAGTGAGGTCTGCTGCAATACATTCTTTCTTTCATCCGGAGCTCAGAACTGTCAGCTGTTTTACTTACCTGATCCCTGCTCCAATTTCCAGAAGTCGGCATCCTCCTCTTCTCTCCCTCCACTCCTGCTGTGGAATGTCCCTTGGCGTCCTCATCTATCATGCAGGGCTGATGTACTTCATTATTTAAGTGTTTTTTAGACCACTGGGGCGAAGGGGAGAAGGTCTAGCAGCTTCTTCTACCCATCGCTGATTCCTCCCGGTGAGCAAGGATAAAGTAAACGGCTTTTTCCTCTCCCCTAGGCATAAAAGAGCAGTAAACCCTTGCAGTGCTGAAGCAGCCCCACTCCAAGGGAAAACTGTTACATTTTAACCTACATAGCATAAAGATTATTTCCTAAGCAAACAGAAAAGTATACAGAGTTTTCAAGGGTAGGTATAGGTCTAACTATAGGAATATGGCCTCCATGAGAAACAAACGTAATGTTTAAAAGCAGGCGATGCATTTGAGCTTCTTCTAGGGAACTTGTATATTCCTTTAATTTAAGCAGAGCTCTAAGCAAACCATTTTTATATATATCTTTTAGTTTTTTTATTTATTTATATTTTCAGACTAGATATTTTGCCTAACATTCTGTGTCGGTGTTGTGACCACACACGAAGTGAAATCTTTCCAACGAGGATGTAGATAGCACAAAAAAAAAGAGAAAAAATGGCACGAGTCCTAACACATCCCAGCTACACGATTAGTTTAAATTTAAAATAAATATTGCTGTCAGTGGCCCCAGTAGACAGCTCACTCCTGCTCACTCCTGGTAACCAAATGAAACCATACTTAGCTACTATAGCTTTATTTTTTCAAGGCACAAATGCATTATACATACAGAAACCTTTGAGACATGAAAGAGCTTAGATAGAAAAAGCAAGAAAAAAAGAAAGGAGTAAGAAAGAAATATATACCTTGAAAAAGCACATTATAACAGTATGGGCCTGACATGGTAACCAATATGAGCATGGTTACGAGGAGAGGGGCCACAGGGCACAGCTACCTAGGTAAAATGAGGAGCAATTAACATTAATAAAAATTAGAAATATCTTGGAAGTCTTTTCAGTGCAATCTGAAGAACCAAAGAAATTTGAATACAAAAATTGTTGAAGTATGAAAATGTATGCAATATAATGATACTGGAACATTCTGCCAATCACTGTGTATTGACAAAGAGAGAAAGGAAAAAAAAGAGAGAGATAGATATAGATATACAAATTCTTCACCTAATGGTTTATTTCCTAGAACACACAAAATTAAATATAACCAAAACAAAGACCAGTTAAAAGCATGGTGTTCGCCATTGGTGTCATAGCAGAGTTCTAGACCCCCATGAATAAATTTATCACACAATAATGGAAATATTTGGCATCAATAAATCTGGACAGATATTCTGTACAGTGGCTGGCCATTTAGCAGATTTAACAAATGACAGATCTTACTTTTCAGACACTTTTATGTTGCTTCATCTTGTGAGCCAGCAGAATTTGTACCTTCCATCAAGGTGTAAGAATGTGGCCTTAGAAAGGCAGATGTCTACTGGTAAAGGACAGTTAGAGAGATATCTCCATTTCTTTAACAAGTCAGTGGTGGGGCTTGCCATGGTTTTCATGGGATATTTGCAATGGTGCACACATAATAGCTTTGATCCATCTTCATAGAAAAGTAAAGGACCAGCTCTGGTTACAGAAAGATAAATAAACACAATGCAAAGTTTTCCTGTGTGATTATCCCACTCAGAATGTCAGAAATTGCCCAATCTTATCAGGAGTCTCCCAAAATCAATAGCATCACTTGCTTAAATTGTGCCATGTAATCCCTAGCTTGCATACCGCAGGTCAGCATCTGATCCTACCATAAGATAGGGTATATGAATACAGGCATTGAATGTGTATACTTGCCTTTAGAGGCATATAATGAGCAAACCCTAATGCACGGTTGTTGTAAAACACAACAAATAAACTTGTCACAACAAATTTTTTAGGAAATGATTTGCTGTTAAGGAGAATAATATGATGTCTACACACAAAGACAAATACACAAACACATACACCGATGCAAAACAATAGTATCTAGAAATTATTTTAATACTAACAATATCCATCCTTCTTTTTTAAGTGAACGGTTCAAGAGAATTAATGAATGAATACAAGCTTAGCTACGGAATCACAGCCATCTAAGGGGTACAATTACGAATATAATTCTTCAGACTACATTCAGTCAGCCAGAGATGAGCAGGAAATGCAGACGCAATTGTAATAAACATCCAGCAGCCTGGCGCTACTGACAGATATAATATACTTTTTCTAGTTGTTCAAGGGAAACAATTACTAACAAGCTATCATTATAGAATAAAAAGCAGATCCAGCTATGTTTTTGTATCTGTCTGCCTGTCACTTATGAAGTTAGTAAAGTTTAAAATAGAAAAAAAAAACACCAGCACTATTATGTTGCCATGACACACATGTAAATAAGCCTAGCTTGAACTGGTAATTGGATGTTTTTTAGGTGTCAGTAGTGCAGTTGTGTTGAAATTCCGTAGGTGTAGGGATGAGGTTCTCAAGAATTTAAGGCAAATTTACACATTTAAGTTCAAGCAAATGGGCACATTTTTGGTGAATGTGCCCAGGCAAATTTTGTGACCACCTATAAAGCTCTGTGCATCCATTAACCCTGGCCAGCAGACTTTCAAGTGCCAGTAATGGGTTGGGGGGATGGATAACCCAGCCCCCTCGCTATAAAAGTGGGGCTCAGAGCAGCCATAGTGTCAGTGCATTGAAGTTGATGTAGGAAGAGGATAGAGAAAGCAGACACACTGCGTAAGTAGGGTCAGTAAGCAAAAAGTTGTGCTTTACATCTGAGAATTGCAGTACTGGGGTACAGTCTTGTGTGCCTCAACTCCCATGTTCACAGTTCTTCACCTAAAGCAAAAGTCCTTGCACTATTATCTCTTTCACCAACAAGTTCTTGGGCAATCAGCTTATTTTTTGTGTGTTTTATTATAATTCTTTAATTTTAGTTTGTGGTTGATTTCAGGTCTGTAGTACCATTTTGCTCTTTAAGAAAGCAGTTTTTTGTTTTTTTTGCAAAAAGTTGCAAAAAGGCTCTTGCTTAAAAAAATGGGTGGTGATATTTTAGTTAGGGATGCACCAATACTGATTAATTGGGCAAGGACATATACTCGCCCAAATGCTCCGGTACCGGAACTTCCAGTCAGAGGGAGATTTTCTTCTGACCGGCAGTGCCACGAGGAAACATGTGTATATTTATGCACTGTGCAGCAACCAATTCTACCAATGAAGTCAAAACATAAACATAAAAAATATATAGCATCTAACAATTTAATATAAATGTCTTTCCAACTGTGTATAAATAATAATTGAATAAAGATAATTGTCCACAAGTGTTGAAGTGAATCGTCGTACAATCAAACAAAAAATGTCCACTCAAACAAATGTGAAAAATTATATTCTTTCGTCACCATCAGTTACGATATTATTGATAATTCCACCATGTGTAAATCATATAAATATCCGCACTCACCAGAGGGTAAGGCGTTTTTTCAGGACATGGAGCCACCTTCCCGGGCCAATCAGGAGGCCAGGCGGAGGGTAATGACTCGCCGTCCAGCTTCTTGATTGGCCTTGAAGCCAACTGCATGCTATTTGGTTGGCTTCATGCTGATTGGGAAGCAGGCCAGCTGCCCAGCCAATCAGCATCAAGCCAGCCAAACATATGGAGCCGACTTCCTAATTGGATGGGAAGCCAGCTTGATGTTGATTGGCTGGGAAGCTGGCTCCCAGCCAATCAACATCTAGCCAGCCAAACAGCCGGCTCGATTCTGATTGGCAGGGAAGCCGGTTTTCCGGCCTATTAGCATTGAGTTGGCCAAACAGCATGGAGCCGGCTTCCCGTGCAATCAAGAAACTGGGAGGCGGGTAATGACACACCCTCCTAGCTTCCTGAGTGCCCGGGAAGCTGTCTCCATGCTAGTGGAAGTACCAGTATTGGCAAATACCAAAATATAAATATCTGTACTTTATTGGACTTCCTCAGCACTTTGACCTTTTGGGTTGGCAACTTCTGCTGACCAAAGCAGATATAGTGAAAACCCACATCTCC